TAAATATTTAAAAAACAGAACTTTTGTTGTTTCTGGATGCTTTGCATTTCTCAAATTATCACTCTCCTGTCCCTCCTGCTCCTTGTGTCACTTATTTATAACATGTACTGTTCTACAAGTGCCTCCTGTTTCCACATGCTTTTATTTCCCTTACCTCTCAAATATCCTTATTTTGGGGGAGGAAAGTAACTTTACTCAGCTCTCTCCACATTTTTCCTTTTTCTATACAGAAGCTTTCCTTATTTTTTGTTTGTGCGAAGAGAGTATTTGACTATATAAATATCTAGATCAGTGGTCCCCAACACGGTGCCCGCGGGCCCTGGGGGGGAGGCCAGCCCCGGACAATTGGCACTTGGGGGGGAGCTCTGGCCCCGGGCGTGCGGCGCTTGGAGGGAGGTGCGCTGGCCCCGGGTGCGCGGCTCTTGGAGGTGGCCCCACCTCCGGGGTGTGCTGATATGGGGGGACCCCGCCCCCTGGCGCCCAGCGGGCGAACGGCCACCTCCAAAGGTTGGGGACCACTGATCTAGATAAGCTGTTACCATGGCTTCAGAACAACTTAAAAATGAATTAAAATATACATGTGAAATATGCTTGCTGGTTTTATATGTCCAGTTTCCCACACTCACATGCCCATCCATTTTCATTGCTCTTTGCCTCATTTCAGTGGACCATCCTGCTATAAGACACCCATGTCACTGCAAGGGATGAAATTAGCCTCTATTATCATGACTATTAGAGGCCAAGACAGAATTTGCACTATTGACTGTGTGACAAAGTCCCTTAATAGCTCACTGGGGGTTCTGCACTTCTTGGCGGTTACTTGAGCGCCTCAAAGACTCACGGAGCCCCCTTTGTTGCCCTGGGATTTCCCTAGAGGCAAGGTGAGTCATTCTCATCACAGGCCAGTGCTTGGGGTTCAGCATTTCCTTTCTCTGCTCTGTGTGCCTTCCAAAAATTCTGCCCCCTCCTGGGAGGAATCCTTTTATAGGAACCCAGGAGGCCTTAACTGGCAGCAGGTGCTTAATTAACCCCAGCTGCAAGCTGCCTCCTAATTAGGCCTCTATTTTCTACCCTGGCTGCTGGGCTGTGTTCAGGTGAGGCTAATTTGAAAACAAGACAGAATTAACCCATGTCCCAATATGGCAGCCTTCTATAAGAGGTTTGCAGTTTTCAGGCTGTGGGTGTCACAACTGATAAATGGTTAAATGTTCCAAATCCTGTGATTAATCCATGTGCCTGGAGTGATGATAGAATCCTAGGTTAGGACACAAAAATGATCATTACAAACATTAGGAATGAGAGTATAGGAAGAAACTTGTAATATTTTCCAAAAGATCTCATGGTAACAGCTGTAACTTATAACAGCATGAAATCTACCATATCTGAGAGAGGCATTTTTCACCTGGCCCCCAGTTGCTGTGGTGATAGATGGCTGGAATAGTCCTCTCTCCCCAGTGCAGCTTGCATACCTCCCACCTTCCGGACGCACTTTAGGGAGGGCAGGAGAGTATGTGTCTGTTACAGTAAGCAGGCCCTCACATAGTGAAGCAGCCAAGCCCAAGATCAATGCCTTGATGGGACACAGCAACAAACCAGGGATGCCCCACAACAGGAGCCTAGAGGAATTACTCAAGAAGGACAAGCCAGAGTTGAACCCAATATCACTGTTTTTCGGGGCCATTAGTACTGGGTCATGTGATCTTGCATAAGGAGGGTGGCTTCAGCTAGCTAAGAGGGGAGGCTACTATTCTGTGTGCATTTGCAGATAGTGGCAGAAGGGGGCTAGAGGTGTTGTTGAAAGGTTACTGGGGATGCAGACAACTAAGTGCACCCAAGATGCACTTCCATACTGGAACATTTATATTTCCATTGACTATGAATTTGTATTTCCATTGATTTTGAATATTTCCATTGACTTCAGTCGGTTTTGAATTAAGCCCTAAGATAGCTTTCCTCAGTCTATGACCATGACAGCCAGCTCACTGCCTACTCATCCTGGGGAAGCAAGTTAATCCCTGAGGTGGCTAAGATCTCAGATGAGCACAGAGACTGGGAAAGAGGACTGCCAGAAGTGTTTGCCTTGTCCTGGGCTGAGAGAGGCCTCAGAGAAAGGTAAAGCTACATTACATTACAAAATGCATCCTTTCCAATGAAATACTATTTTTTTAATGCTCCTGTGCCGTAGAAAGAGATCTTTCCTTGAAAAAAGCATTTTTGGTCACTATGCACTAGCACATACATGTACAACAGAGATCTCTATTGACAAATGAGCAGAAATAAGAACACAACAAAATTTTGAGATGGTACCACGCCATTCAATAGATAGAAACTATCCCAGACAGTGTAGTGATTCTAGAATTGGAAGCAGAAAATAATTTATTTTAGTCATTTTTCCTCTTGTTTGTTGAATGTAGGAGCAAGAGAGAAATTTAGTTTATCTATGCCCCACCTCTAATAATTTTGATTTCTCATAATGACAACTTCCATTGAAATGGACGTTCCACTTCTTAGCAATCTTATCCATCTTATTGACAGAACCCTACCAAATTCAGTTCATTTTGGCCAATTACACAACCATGGGATTGTTAAAGTAGTACATTTCAGCTATTTAAATTTGAAATTTTATGATGGTGTAACGGTAGAGTCCTGACCCAAAAAGGAGTTGTATGTGGGAGGATCAAAAGGTTATTGTAGGGGGGTTGCAGTACTGCTACCCTTACTTTTGTGCTGCTTCTGGTGGTGGTTCTGCTTTCAGAGCTGGGCAGCTAAAGATTGATGCTGCTGGCTAGGATCCCAGCTGTAAAGGCAAAGGCACTGCCAGCAGCAATGCAGCAGTAAAGATGTCATGGATTGCACCCTTACTTCTGAGCTGCCTGAAGAGCTGGGCCCTAGTCTGTAGCTGCTGCTCTACAGCCACCTAGCTCTAAAGGCAATACAGAAGTAAGGGTGCCAACACTGTGATCCGCCCCTAAAATAACCTTAGAACACTCCCTGGTCATGACCTCCAGTTTGATAAACACTGATCTCCCCCATTCAATCTGTACAGTATAGGGTAAAAACACACAAATTACCAGATTTCACATAGCAGACCAGATTTCACAGTCTGAGACATTTTTCATGGCTGTGAATTTGGTAGGTCACACAAATTGACTATGAAAGCAGCTGTGCTGTATTTTATTTTTAAATACACACATAGGGTATGTCTACACTACAGAGTTAGTTCGAACTAACTTAGTTCGAATTAGTTAATTCGAACTAACTTAGTTCGAATTAGTTAATTCGAACTAACTTAGTTCGAATTAGTTAATTCGAACTAACTTAGTTCGAATTAGTTAATTCGAACTAACTTAGTTCGAATTAGTTAATTCGAACTAACTTAGTTCGAATTAGTTAATTCGAACTAACTTAGTTCGAATTAGTTAATTCGAACTAACTTAGTTCGAATTAGTTAATTCGAACTAACTTAGTTCGAATTAGTTAATTCGAACTAACTTAGTTCGAATTAGTTAATTCGAACTAACTTAGTTCGAATTAGTTAATTCGAACTAACTTAGTTCGAATTAGTTAATTCGAACTAACTTAGTTCGAATTAGTTAATTCGAACTAACTTAGTTCGAATTAGTTAATTCGAACTAACTTAGTTCGAATTAGTTAATTCGAACTAACTTAGTTCGAATTAGTTAATTCGAACTAACTTAGTTCGAATTAGTTAATTCGAACTAACTTAGTTCGAATTAGTTAATTCGAACTAACTTAGTTCGAATTAGTTAATTCGAACTAACTTAGTTCGAATTAGTTAATTCGAACTAACTTAGTTCGAATTAGTTAATTCGAACTAACTTAGTTCGAATTAGTTAATTCGAACTAACTTAGTTCGAATTAGTTAATTCGAACTAACTTAGTTCGAATTAGTTAATTCGAACTAACTTAGTTCGAATTAGTTAATTCGAACTAACTTAGTTCGAATTAGTTAATTCGAACTAACTTAGTTCGAATTAGTTAATTCGAACTAACTTAGTTCGAATTAGTTAATTCGAACTAACTTAGTTCGAATTAGTTAATTCGAACTAACTTAGTTCGAATTAGTTAATTCGAACTAACTTAGTTCGAATTAGTTAATTCGAACTAAGCTAATTCGAACTAACGCGTCTAGAACTAAAAACTAGTTCAAATTAGCGTTTTGCTAATTCGAACTAGCAAGTCCACATTGAATGGACCCTGAACAGGGCTTAAGGATGGCCGGAAGCAGTGCCGGCAGGGCATCAGAGGAGGACTTAGAGCATGGAGATGCTGTCTCAGGCTAGCCGAGGGCT